TCATAAGATGCTTAATTCTGCTTAAGCTGGTGCTATGGGGTGGACAGTAACTTTCACTTTCCATTACCGCTCATGAACAGACTCAATAAAACCGAGCCTGAACATTAACAATTTAGTCGTTTTGTCGTTTTGTGCGTTCTTTGTGCAATCTGCATTTCTCTTTATTTTTACGCCACATCAGCCGTGTGCGTGCCGTGTGTAAGTCGTAAAATGTCGCCCTGTAATACTGCAAGCGTCACACTGTCCCGAATTTGGCATCAGATGGACACACGAATAAGGAAATGTTCAAATTCGGATGTGATTGTAATCACATCGTAATCACATCGTGCCATTCGTGATGACATCTTTTGCCATCGTATGATCCCCGGCTGAATATTACAAGCTCCGGCAGCAACTTCGTGAGCGGTTCCAAAATGTTTGGCATGCCATAAAATTGTCCGAAGACATTGCAAAGGTTCATTTCCGTGTTGAATTCGTATGTCAATTTTGCCCTTCGTAAGGCCGTCGTGAAGCCATCTTGTCAAATCGTGTAGTCTTTTCTTTATGTGATCATCGGTGCAATCTGGCATTTTTAGCCTCAAGAAGACAATACAAAGTAAACACGAAGATTCCCGATAGTCTTAAAAAGGGAACACGACTACGTGTAGCCCCTGCAATACTGTCGTGTCACCATCGTATTTTGGTACGATGTCATCGAGATGGGACCACGATGAGGCCGAAGAAAGCAATTTTTAGTGGCTCAAGCGTTGCATGATTATCATGGTAGACATATAAACGGCTAGACCATCTTCCTCATCTGTCACTCTTGCACATCTCTACAGAGACATCAAAAGCTTCCATTATTTGTAAATATTTTACAATCATTTGCAGCTTATTTCCTGCAGAAATACATGCTTTGAGGATGAGTCAAACGAGAAAAAGAAGGCAGCAGCAATGCTACTTTTAAGACACCTTAGAAAACATGATGAGGCCCACATGCCAACATTGGGTGGCATGATAAAGTTTTATCAAATATGATAAACAAGGTCAACAAGGAAAGGCAGCGTTCAAAGAACGCAACCCCCACACGACCCAGCAACAAGAACCAAGTAACACAAGAGGACCCCCAGAAAAACGAACAGGGTGCAATGTAGAGCACGGATAGGCCTATAACTTAAATGATACATAAGACGAAATAATGGTAAACGACAAGGAAAGGAAATCAAAGAAAACATATAAATGATTGATTTATTAAATAAATAAAACTAGGGGCAAAAGGGTAAATACTTACCGTAGATGAAAACAACCAGGGACACCGACAAAAGTGTCACCAAAACTGTATGAAATAACAAAATATATGATAAACAAGATCAACAAGGAAAGGCGGAGTTCAATGAACGCAACCCCCACATGACCAAGCAACAAGAACCTGTGGCAAGGAGCCCAGGCGGACCCCAAACAAAAAACAGGACAGGGCACTAGGCAGAGCACGGACAGGCTAATCACTAAAATGATAAATAATCTGTAACTGATAAGAAATTCAAAGAAATCAAATAAATGATTGAATAATAGGAAAAAATTGGTAACTGACAAGGAATTCAAAGAAAACAAATAAATGACCGAACAATAGGGCCACAAAGCCAAAGGGCATAGGGGAAGGGGACAGGAGACCCGGGGAAGGGGGAGTAAAGACATACATCTGAGGAACAAAGAGGGGCGCCGCCTTGGACCTGTCAGCAGCATAAGTACTACTTGGAAGTTTAAATCGGTTAATGGTGAACCAAACCTCACTCTAAGCCCACCATGTTCTTATAAACGAGACGGTGTAAATAAAATGAATCCCCGCCAAGTAAATTTATAACAGTTTTTATGGTTTTAAAAGGTAAAATAAGTAAATATTGTCCATCATAGAGTACCTACTTGGTCCAGCAGATGTAATCAAACGAGGAAAGTACCAACTGTTAAAGTGTTGAACCCTAAGCATGCGGTATATCTAAAAAGTAGAGTCAAAAACTCTTTTGGTTTAAACGTTAAATAATTTTAGTAAAGGCAACAGAAGAATTACAATGACCAAAGATCTAGCGAAGTTTGTAAATAACATCTCCATTAAATCATTTTTGAATCACTACTGAATTTTGAGATTAAATCAAAGTTACGATTGTAAAATTTTGTAAAAATTTACGTTATTTATAATAGCGGTTTGAGTAGCTTGCTAGTGTTAAAATCCTTCACGTTGCTAAAAGCAAAAATCGCATCTTATTTACTGAGATACATATACACCGTCAGATGTTGCATGCGTTACGTCTCCATCTAAATACGGATAGTTTACTAAACCATAAGCAAAGTCATCACTTTTATCATAGATTTTTGTGTGAATAGAATTGTTTTTTATAGTAATATGAAGAGCCAAAAAAAGTTAAAACGAAGTTTAATTAGCTCCCAATATTATCTGCAACTGAAATTTGCCGCGGTTGGCCGTGGGTTGTATACTACCCGGAGGTGAAGGTCACTTGACGCCTTCGTAACCACGTACGAAGGCATCGTACTCAAAATACGACGTCGTGTACCTATCCTGTGATCTTCGCGTGTCCTGCTGGTAAACTACTTCTTACGAAATTGCATCTTTGAGGTGACTTCGTGTGTGTATCGGATGCCATCGCGTGACCTTCCGTAGGAATCGTGTGTGGCTCGGACGCGATCGCGTGACCGTCTGTAGGAATCGTACTTGTTTCGGCTGTTCACAGACTGTCGACCAATTTCGGGGCTATCTTCGCAATTAAAAATTCCATATTCGTATGCCCATCATGTGTCAATTTCGGGACAGTGTGACGCCTGCAGTACATTCAATCAGGGATGTTATATTTCCAATCATTTAAGATCGCTCAGCACGACAGTATTGAAGAGTGCTTGTGGTATATTTTTAGTTCTTTCTATTCGGCTAATTCTAGTTGGGTGGTTCCAGTATTCCCCAGTTGAATACTGTTTAATCGACCTTAGGATATGGAGCCGATTTTTTAAATTTTCCATTTGGCTGCTTATCTGCGACATTCAGGCTTCATTACCTCTGATTCTCTTTCAAAATTCCTTTTTATTTAGTTCCGGCCATTGTTTATTCGTTTAGGGCACATGCATTCCTTTACTTGGGGACCATACGCCGCTTTGCATGGACTGGCACGAAAATGTCACATTGAAGGTTCCTTGACAACCGACGTATGAAAATATCTGCGTGTGTTTCTAAATTCCAAATTTCACCATAAGCATCATTAAATATTGAATTCCGCTTAAGCTGGTGCTAGGGGGCGCGAATGGAAACTTGCACTTTCCATTACCGTCCATGAACAGGCTCAATCAAACCGAGCCTGCAACATTTACAATTTTGTCGTTGTGTGCGTTCTGTAGGATTTCCTTATTTCTCCCTATTTTGATACAATAATGATTAGTTTATAATGAAAAATATTTAATAAAATTATCAATTAAAACGATTAAAAAGGTGTGTGTGTGTGTTGTCATTCATTTGTTTTTTTTAAATAGCAAGAAATTCTAGTACAAAAAATTAATATGACTTAAAAGAAATTAAATTCACAAAGATGAATGTTTTTAAACAATATGATGTGCCACAACATGCTTCGAAAGACCATTTGGTTAAGACCAGTAATGGTTAATTTTTGCTGTGATAAATTGTTTGTTTAATGTGATATTATATATTCTTGTGAAATGTCATTATTATTATGATGATTTATGTTTCGTGATATGCTGAAAAATGTTTATAACTAAATGTAAGAGATGCACTTAAATTCCTTTCAATATTATAATAAACTACGCATGAACGTTTACAAAATTCATGAAGCAGAATTTCTTGAATATTTCCACCAGTATTTACCGGTAATGTGCATTTTATAAAAAAAGTGAGGAAGTAATTTTACATTTTGGTCAGATTTATATGTTCTAGAGCTTTTAAAGACCCATTATGCTTCAGAAATGCAATCATTTTTGTTACTCAGAATTTTTTCTTATTTATAGTTTCAAGATTTGCTCATTTACCAAATATTTCAATTTTCTTTGTTATTTTTGGTCTGTTGGCAGTTTGCATAATTATAAGGAACAAGTATTTTGAATGTAAGTCACGGACCAAAAAAATAAACAAAAACAAAAAACTTATCATCATAAAAGGATAACACACCTGATATATGATACCAGTATGTTTTAAACTGAATAGACACCATACATAATAAGTATATCTTAAACTAGGTTAACATTTCACACGCATCTGTACAGTACATTAAATACTGTTGCAGTCACAAGAATTAATGATTAACAATTTTGTAAAACAAATCGCTCCTCATTTTTGAACCTGCTGTCGCAGATGTTTCATGCTAACAGTTGACTTTCATCGATGCACCTGCATGACACAAAATTAACAGAAATAAGATAATTTTTAAATTCTTTGAGGAAACAACTTCTTACAGATAAAAATCTGGAAACAAAGTGATCCCTCGGAAGCATAAATCACAACAAAATTACATGAAAATTGCAGACTCGGTTTGATTGAGTCTGTACATGAAGGATAATGAATAATTGCGACATCCCTCACGCCCCCTAGCACAGGCTTGAGCGGTACTCAATTTCCAACACTTAATAGTGCTAGCAAACCATACAACATAACATCTCGTCACCATGGTTGGCACTTGAGACTCAAATTACCCAATTCTCTGTCGCAGATTTAGGTTTTTTATTACAGGGCTCACAAAATTTTGATAAGAGGCAATGCAGTGTATGTAATATTAAACTTTAGCTAGTTTTCCAGGTGGGTTATGGGTCATTTTTACATGAGTTGCACAAAAAGGTTAGTTAATATCTAGACTTTAATGCAGTTTCATATTCTTTTGCATAACAGACTTATACAAGTTATGGGAAAGTGGCGCTGGGTAATATTACGGTATTTTCAGAAAATTAAAAAAACCCACATGAATCAGAACAGCTCATACTATTGATGGTCTTGTTAATTTACAAACTCGTTTGGCTAATTTATTTACAATATTTTATTTTTGTTCATATTATACATTATATACATTGTAATAATAGATTTGTTATGTAACAAACTACTACCGGGTATATCTATAGGAAGTCATATAAACAGTAACCTTTAGTTACAAATGTCTGATATACGTACAATGATATTAATAAAATGATAAATCATAACATTCAAAGATGCATTATGACTAACATGACAAGTAATGTTCAAAGTGATTGATAAACAGAAAATACCATACTAGTGTCTGATATTACAAAATTTATCAGGCAAGGTTAAGACGCCCTTCATTTGTTTTGCATTGTCTGATATATTTTATAATATCAGGTATTTGTTTGGTATTCTATTTATCATGTTAACAATTTTAATATGCGTTTCTTTGTTTATATTTCAAAGGAAATAAAAAACTGTCAAGAACCTCCCGAGTTCATGTCCCGCCGAGTAATTAATATGCCAATGATCATATTTTTAAGAAATAGTTCCACATGCACATGTTTCTAGTCGAATGTAAGAGAGACTTTATAATTCAAAAATGTATTCGATTCAAATATTATCACGTTGAAATTTCCAAACTACATGTAGACAGAGGTAAAGTATTCCATTCACTTCATTTTATTTCAATATGTATTGATAAGGTGACTAATAAAGCTAAATATATCAGGTATGCACTTTCATTGAACTTTCCTTGTTGATCTTGTTGACCAAATTTTATCAACAGAAGTCAATGTAAAGACATGATAACGTATGTATACCTATCTAATGTAGAAGATGGCAACGATATGATATTTTCATTAACGTCCATTCATTTATCAAAGATCATTTACATTTGCATATAAGATAAAATGATGATCTAATTGATTAACTACTAAAACGCATTATAATACAATATGTATAAGTGTTCCCTGCTTTCTTTTTTCATACATACATAGCAGGTGTGTTGTTACACCCATGTAATACTAAACACCTTGAGTAAATCACGAGGACCAAAGAAACCTTTTTTGGATGAACAACTAATGTATAATTTACTATCACTCTGACTGTATGTTACAGCGTGTGGATGGAGTATTTCTGTGTTCTCTAATCCTTCAATCCTACATTTCTTGAAGCTGCTCGACAATCTTACAATATTGTGGCTGTCTATGTAACACACCAACAAGGTACCATCTTCGAGCTCCTGTATTCCTACAGGTCTTTTATATGCTTTATCTTGGAATCTTTGTACAATATTTCCTTGCCAATCCACTTTCAGAAACTTGAACTGTGACATGATATTATAATCAGATACATATATGAACTTCTCATCACGGCTGATAGTAATTTTTTCAGGTCCACCATACAGCTTAAGGGAATCAAATACCTGTATAATATTTCCGTCTAAATCCAGAATAACCAGCTTTCCAAAGAAGAAAGACATTGGGAACGGAAACGGGTTGTAGTTACAACCTACTACTAGCTTGTCCTGACAATAAGCTATACAATAACTTTCCTCTCCAACATATAAATAACGATCTAAAGCAACACTTGTGTCATTGAAAGACATTATCTGGATATGTTTTGCATTAACTAAGGCAACCGCAAGTTTATTTTGTGGAATCTTTATAATATCGCGTGGTGCTGATGATACGGATATTTCTGATACTAACTTTTCATTGTCTACATCAATCATTTTAATTTTGCTATTGCTGATATCAGCAACGATCATTTGCGTGGATGAAATCATTACCATTCCTGCAATACTGCATGGTTCCTTATCTATAAAGGATCGCATGTTAATTGATTTTACTGTTTTCGCACATGCTGCAGAATCTGCAGAAGTGTTCCTCAATGTGGACAACGTTCCGAGAACGTTTTCCTTTCTCAACTGATCAATAATATTTTGGTTTCGGATAAATTTTACATCACCGACTGATTTACTATCCTTTGCCATTTGTTGCTCCTTACTTGAAAGCCTTAAAACATGAGATTCAGCATTTTTCATCTCAATAAACAGCTGATTGAGCTTGTTTTCTTCACTTAAGCCTTTGAGCATTGACATTGTACTTTTCATTTCCTCTGCGATATGTAAACTTTCCTCTTTTACATTTTCTTGTTTACATTTTTCTCTCCGTGCGTAAGTTTCAGCGTCTGCCATAATGTCGGCTTCCATCCGGTCTAAACATTCGTTTATTTCTTCTCTGAATTGATGTATAGCTTCAGCAACTTCCTTGTACATTTGTTCGGCGTTTATTGTCTCAGTCCCAGCATTTTTGACATTAGATTTACATTTTTTAATAAGTGTCTCCATTCGATTTATCAAAGTATCTAGTTCATCAGACACGCTTTCTGAAACATCTGGAATATAGTCAACTTTGCAATGTTTGTGTTCTAGGGTAACACAAACAGAGCATGCAGTAGAACCATGTTTATTACAAAAGAATTCCTGTGGTTTGTCGCCATGTTTTGTACAGAATTCAGTTATTCGGTCTTTTGTTATGTTCCCGGTCTTCGGTCTCTGTAGCATTCTCTCCTTGACTAGTAAAACATGGTTTCTTGACGGTCTTTGCCTTCTGTGATGATTATAACAACTTTCACAAAGATGTTCCTCGCAGTCTTGACAATACCCATATGCTTGTTCCTTTAAACCATCTATGCCGCATGGAATGCAGAAATAGTTCAAATCTTTATCAGAGGGGCCAGCTAGCTCTCCTGGTACTTCCATAGTCTATCTGTCAGGAAATAAACATAAAAGAAACACGACATTGAAACCCCTTTTACATGTATGTATCCAAAATATAGAGGGAGATAATTTTAAAAAAATGAATTATTGACTATAATTACAAAGTAAGTTTGTTCCCGTTAATAAATTAAGTTGTGCGACAATAAATATGTCTAGCTCGAAATGGTTAGAATATTTACTTTTTTAAGAAAACCAATAAAATATAACAATTTTATTTCGGAAATTAAACCTTAAATTTGTTTGATAGTTTATCAACGAATTTACAAAAACAGATGGTAAATATTTTAACATGTATGCCAATCTATAACTGTTGAGATCATGTCTTATTTTTAAAAATTGTAATTGGGCTATACAAAATATTAGATAAAATGGTTTATTTCAGAAAATAACTTAAACTATCTAACAATAGCAGGCCACGTAAACAAATAAACTTGATAGCGCACTTTATCCACATAAACAGTGTCGAAATATTTTTACGTTATCGGTTTTATTTGACTAAAAATAAAATCTCTGTTAATATCATTGATAAATGTCATATAATTATTTCTTATATCGTTTATTTCCATATATAATTATTTCCTTATTTCGTAATTCGTAACGTTTAAGATGCTGTCTGTAAATAGCAATTTCGTTTTATTTTGTCAAATTTTCCTTTCATAGATTTTATCATTCAAATGCATTAAGCAGCAATTAATTTTACATTGTTTTTATGCAAACATTTAATATAAATTCAAGGCTTACTCCTTATCTATGCCTATAGTCTGCATTTTTTATACCTTATATCAACTTAAGAACAATCTATTTAATTATAATGACACGTTTTGACACTTGAGTTCTGCGTCCTCAAAGATATTGAAAATATAAAGAAACAAGTTTTTATTTATAATTTATATACATGCAAAAAATGTAATTAATTATCTAATAATTAGAACCATTCAAATTTGGGTTTCATCGAATAAATAATAATAATTTAATTCGATCGTACAACTAATTGATGACAAATAAATTTGTTGAAATATACGGTTATAAGAGTTATAAGCGTACAATTTTGTATGCTATGGGGTATTGATATTTAAGATATTTTAAGATAAATTCTTTCCAAACTAATTATATAACAATTATGTACGTAAACAGAAACACAAATTTTGTTTAAATTCAACATTATAGATACTTGGAAACTCCATTTTTATAAAATTCTAGCAACATTACTATCATTATAATCGTTTACTTTCGCTAGCCTCCCTTTAAAAGATAACAAAAGTATTCATATTTCTTTCGGATTTTTATACCATTTTTGTTTTACGATCTTCAAACTATATTCTTTTGCAACCGTCAGGCAATACAGCATACTTTTTAACTATAAATGCAAACTTTTCATTGTTTCTTATCTGGATCGCACATTTAAAACCTTAATGATTGTGCTGTAAGTCTGTTTTCAATCCCCCCCCCCCCAAAAAAAAAAAAAAAAAAATATTAGTTACCTTAAGTCAAACTGAATTTGCACGAAGATGGTTTAACTTGTAAATGAGCGCATATTATCCTCTTCTTTTAAATCATCTACAATACACATCTTTCGTACCCACAAACAAAAATAGTAATGAAATACTTTTCAATTCTAACTAGTCTTTTCCTTCCTGTTTACTAGTTTTAAAATGAACTTTGATACGCGGAAGTTTAGAATATAGTAGTAAAGGGAAGTAACTTTTATAACCTATCCTGTCATTTGCAAGTGTCATGTGGTCCGTATCATCCACAGGGAAATGGGATGCCTGAGCGCTTTAACGAAACCCTCTTGAATATGTTGGGGACCCTAGAAGATGACAAGAAGGTCAATTGGAAGTCTCATGTTCCCGCTCTTGTCCATGCCTATAACTCTACTCCCCATTCTTCTACTGGTTATTCTCCCCACTTCCTCATGTTTGGTCGCCACCCAAGGCTTGCCATCGATGCGTTTCTTGGCATCGAACCAGACAAATCTCCTGTCAAGGACCATTCTTACGTCTCAGGTCTCCAGAACCGACTAAAATTCGCATATTCTGTTGCACTCCGAGAGGCCAAGAAACAAGGCAAGAAACATAAAAGGTACTATGACCTCCGTGTGAGAGAAGCGGAATTGAAGCCCGGGGATCGAGTACTGGTCCGAAATGTAGGTGTTCGGGGAAAATCCAAACTTGCCGATAGATGGGAAAAAGATGTTTACACCATTCTCAGCCAGCCCACCTCTGGAATTCCCATCTATGAGGTGAAGAAGGAAAACAGCAAGGACAGGTCCAGGGTTTTGCACAGGAACCTTTTACTTCCCTTTATGGGGATGCCTTTGTGCAAAACAACCGAGTCCTTATACAAGCCAGCTTCCTCTGACTTACATTCGGATCAGAACTCGTTCTCCAATCCCTCCTCTGATGTTTCCATTACAGCTCCGTTAGATTCAAATCCCTCACTTACATCAAGTCCATCAAATGTTTCACAAAGCAATTCTTCCACAATACATGATTCTAACAATTGTATGTCAACTTCTTTTACAGGAACATCAAACAGCAAACAAAATGCCACGTCAACAACTCAAACTTCTTATTCTGTTCCAAGTAAAACATCTCATTCTATTTCAGGTTCAAAATATGTCATTCCTGCACTGAGAAATCCATCAAAGGACAACAACAACAATTTACAGAGGCAGAAACGTACACGAAAGAAACCCGGATGGATGCTAAATGACAACTGGAAATTAGATTAATGCTTTTTCTTTTTTTTATAATCTAGGTGTGTTTCAACTTTGAAGTTAGGCGTTATTCGGTACCTGATGTGTTTCGTTTTATGTTTTATACCATGTACCATTTATTTTACCTTGATAATTTATAAATGTACTTTACAGTACTTTAAAAATAAAGGATTTATTGTTGAGAGTGCACCTCTTCAATGAATTCACAGTTCTACTGATAAATTAAAATTTTGTTTCCGCGTGACATATATTTTTCGCGATTCGCGGCATACGGTATTTTTGTGGAACATGCTTGAGTTTAAGGTATTTTGCCCGGGTATTATATATTTACTCACAGGTTGTAATTGCCTTCAGTATTTAGATTTAGTTATGTAGTACCTAGTAGTTTAGTTACTTTATGGTCTAAGCTTACTACTTGCAATGTCTGATTCAAGCTCTTCCTCTTTAATATTTTATGAATGTCGGGGCGACATTCCCCAAAGTGGGGAAGTATGTCATGTGGTCGATATTCGTGTTTTTGAATATCGTTTTTATGTATCATTTTGTCCTTGTATTTGTATATATATCTCTTGTATTTGTCTGTTTACAGTCCGATATACAATCCATTATCCCATATCATTCCTATATCATTCCATTTCATCATCTCATTATAACAACTAATTTCTCATATTTCATTTTGACATAATTTGCATGCCGGGCCTCAGTTTTTACAAACTTCCCGGAAAATCCATCTCACGCATGCGCACTTTGATATAAATATTTCTATTGGTTTGCGCCAGAAATTGTTGTCTTGTTTATTTATTTATTTATCAAGGCGTATGTTTATGTCCTTACAGGTAATTGTTGTTATTCATTATGTTTCATTATCATGCATATTTCCATTGATCGTTTATGTATTTCGGATCTGTATTTATGCACTTTGATATAAATATTTCTATTGGTTTGCGCCAGAAATTGTTGTCTTGTTTATTTATTTATTTATCAAGGCGTATGTTTATGTCCTTACAGGCATAAACAGACCATTCCTACATTTGAAAAAGGACCATACGACACAAGCATTATAATTTACTCTGACAACAGAAATTAATTAGTCCTTTTCTGATTTGAATAAACATCTTACTTGTTTAGGTTCTGTCTCTGTAATAGAGAGGCTACCCTATTTACTTGTGCGTTAGCGTCCGCGAAACACAACATGTTTACTTATAGTCTATATTTAGCAAGGTTATCACCACAAATCGTTTAGACGATTATATTGTTATGCTCTATTTTTCATTTTATATTTGAAAATTAGTTTACGATATACAGTATTTGACTATTCTGTTGATAACACACCATGTATTCCTCACTTGAATACTGTTTAATCACCCTTAGGATATGCGGGCGTTTTTTTTTTTTTTTTTTTGTCTTTTGGCAGCTTATCTGTGATATGCAGGCTTCATAACCTCTGATTCTCTTTCAAATAACCATTTTTATTTAGTTCCGCCCATTTTTTACTCGTTTAGGGCACATGCATTCCTTTACTTGGGGACCATACGCCGCTTTTCATGGAATGACACGAAAATGTCGCATTATAGGTTTCTTAACAACCGGCGTATGAACACATCTGCGGATGTTTCTAAATTTAAAATTTCACCATTAACATCATTAAATATTGAATTCTGCTTAATCTGGTGTTAGGGGGCGTGATTGGTGTCCATTTTGTCGTTTTGTGCGTTCTTTAGGATTTCTTCATTTCTCCCTATTTTCATACACTTATTATAAGTTAATAATGAAAAATATTTGATAAAATTATCAATTAAAAGATTAAAAAGGTATGTGTGTTTTCATTCATTTGTTGTTTTTTTAAAAGAAATTCTCGTAATTAAAAAAAATTAACATGACTTGAATTAAAAAGAAATTCACCACAAAGATGAAGGTTTTTAAACAATATGATGTGCCACAACATGCTTTGAAAGACCATTTGGTTAATACTAGTAATGGTTAATATTTGCTGTGATAAATGGTTTGTTAAATGTTATATGATATTTTCTTGTGTAATGTCATTATTATTATGATGATATGTATATGTTTCGTGCTATGCTGAAAAATGTTTTTAACTAGATGTAAGAAATGATGCACTTAAATTCCTTTCAATATTATAATTCACTTCGCATGAACGTTTACAAAATTCATGAAGCATAATTTCTTGAATATTTCAACCGGTATTTACCGGTAATGTTCATTTTATAAAAAAAATGTGGGGAAGTCCTTTTACATTTTGGTCAGATTTATATGTTCTAGAGCTTTAAAAGACCCCTAATGCAATCATTTTTGTTTCTCAGAAACTAGGGAAATATAATTTTGAATGTAAGTATACCTTTATGACACATTACTGTCAGTTTAGTGCTACATCCTTTCGTTGTTAGACATCTAATATGCTCTAAATTCATTATTAAAACATTACTAAATTACTAAACACATGCTGGACATTTCAAGAGAACTGAAAGATATAGATTTCTGAGGCATAATGCGCTTTACTCAAAATGTAAGGCTAGTCTTCAATATATCAAGGAAACGATTGTATGCTGACCCTAGCTGATGTCTTTTATATACGATAGAGGACATGCTTTAACCGTCGTCGTTCATCCTGTAACAATTATATTGTTTATCAGAAAACATAAATCACCTTTATTCGAATACAATACTAAAAACATATAATCAGTGCATCAATTAGTTTGTTGAAAAAACATAAGTCATTGGTTTAGTCCATTCAATGACATTGCTATAATCTATATTTACGTGAAAGGAAGATCCCTTGAGAACAACAAAGACATATAAACAATGAGTTGAAATTGGTTTTATTGAGACAAGAATGTCTAAAAAACACGAAACATATCACACCAGTGTGTCAGGAAATATACTTAACATATTACAACATTATGTCTGTAGAAACTAAACATGTTAAACCAGTAGGTCTGAAACAGTTTTTAACACATTAAACATATCACACCATTAGTCTGGAATAGATAGCATAAAAACAAGTGCATATTTGAAACAAGAAAACATGGCGCGACAGAATTTCTGAAACAGATTAAATTGTTATCATATGTTATTGTTATATTATTTCAAATGTTTTATATGCACAAAAATAATGTACGGTTTAGAATAAGATGTCCTCGACCTACATACACTTATTGACGAGGAAAATAAATAACATGGAACAAAAAATAAACAAAAACAAAAAAACTTATCATCATAAAAGGAAAGCAAACCTTATATATCTTACCAGTATGTTTCAAACTGAAAATAGACACCAGTTTATCTTAAACTAGGTTAACATTTCACACACGCATCTGTACAATACATAACATACTGTTGCAGTCACAAGAATTAATGATTAACAACTTTGTAAAACAAAACGCTCCTCATTTTTGAAACTGCTGTCGCAGATGTTTCATGCTATCAGTTAACTTTCATCGACACAAAATTAAAAGAAATAAGATAATTTTTAAATTCTATGAGGAAACAACTTCTTACAGATAAAAATCTGGAAACAAAGTGATCCCTCGGAAGCATTAATCACAACAAAATTACATGAACATTGCAGACTCGGTTTGATTGAGTCTGTACATGAAGGATAATGAATAATTGCGACATCCCTCACACCCCCTAGCACAGGATTGAGCGATACTCAATTCCCAACACTAAAGAGTAACATAAAATCTCGTCATCCTGGTTGGCAATCGAGACTCAAATTCCCCCATTCTCTGTCGCAGATTTAGGTATTTTATTACAGGGCTCACAAAAATTTTGATAAGAGGCAATGTAGTGTATGTAATATTAAACTTTAGCTAGTTTTTCAGGTGGGTTATGGGTCATTTTTACATGATTTGCACAAAAAGGTAAGTTAATATCTAGACTTTAATGCAGTTTTATATTTTATGCATAACAGACTTATACAAGTGATGGATAAGTGGCGCTGGGTGATATTATGGTATTTTCAGAAAATGTAAAAACACAACCACATGAATCAGAACAGCTCATACTATTGATGGTCTTGTAAATTTACAAAATCGTTTGGCTAATTTATTTACAATACTTTATTTTTGTTCAATATACATTATATACATTGTAATAATAGATTTGTTATGTAACAAACTACTATATCTATATGAAGTCATATATACAGTAACCTTTAGTTACAAATGTCTGATATACGTACAATGATATTAATAAAATGATAAATCATAACATTCAAAGATGCATTATGACTTATTTTATAAATTATCAGATATTTGTTTGGTATTCTATTTATCATGTTAACAATTCTAATATGCGTTTTGTTCTTTATATTTCAAAAGAAATAAAAAACCTGTCAAGAACCTCTCGAGTTCATGCCCCGCCCAGTAATTAATATACAAAGGGTTATATTTTTAAGAAATAGTTCCACATGCTCATGTTTTTAGTCGAATGTAAGAGAGACATTATAATCCAAATATGTATTCGATTCAAATCTTATCACGTTTGATATTTCCAAACTACATGTAGACAGAGGTTAAGTATTCCATTCACTTCATTTTATTTCAATATGTATTGATAATGTGACTAATAAAGCTAAATAATAAGTAAATATATCAGGTATGCACTTTCATTGAACTTTCCTTGTTGATCTTGTTCACCAAATTTTATCAACAAAAGTCAATGTAATGACAACATAACGTATGTGTACCTATCTAATGTAGACGATGGCAACGATATGATGTTTTCATTAACGTCCATTCATTTATCGAAGATCATTTACATTTGCATATAAAATAACATGATGATCTAATGGATTGACTGCTTTAACGCATTATAATAAAATGTATTTTCCTGCAAAATATGTAGAAGTGTTTCCTGCTTTCGGTTTTCATACATATATACATAGCAGGTGTGTTGTTACACCCATGTAATACTAAACACCTTGAGTAAATCACGAGGACCAAAGAATCCTTTTTTGGATGAACAACTAATGTATAATTTACTATCACTATGACTGTATGTTACAGCGTGTGGATGGAGTATTTCTGTGTTCTCTAATCCTTCAATCCTACATTTCTTGAAGCTGCTCGACAATCTTACAATATTGTGGCTGTCTATGTAACACACCAACAATGTACCATCTTCGAGCTCCTGTATTCCTACAGGTCTTTTAAATGCTTTATCTTGGAATCTTTGTACAATATTTCCTTGCCAATCCACTTTCAGAAACTTGCTCATCTGTGACATGATATTATAGTCAGATACATATATGAACTTCTCATCACGGCTGATAGTAATTTTTTCAGGTCCACCATACAGCTTAAGGGAATCAAATACCTGTATAATATTTCCGTCTAAATCCATAATAACCAGCTTTCCAAAGAAGAAAGACATTGGGAGCCGAAACGGGTTGAAGTTACAACCTACTACTAGCTTGTCCTGACAATAAGCTATACAATAACTTTCCTCTCCAACATATAAATAACGATCTAAAGCAACACTTGTGTCATTGAAA